ATTATACCTTAATGATCAGAATTATTCAATGTATTAGAGACTGTAGGGCCAGACATGGGAGATTTACTAAAACTGGTGCACTCAGAACCTGGTGCAGCTGTGCATGGTAGCCAATCAACTTCTAACTTCAGCTTGTTCAATTAAGTTTTGCCAATAAAACCTGGAAGCTGGTTTCTATGAAGAGCTGAACCAGATTTTGCACTCTCCAGTTTAGTAAATAACCCCCACAGTGTAAAGCACATAAAAAGGAAAAAAAAAAAACACCCACAAAGGATTATTTAATAATGTGCTAAGAAAAATGGGGACTTTAGTAACACAAGGCAACTGATCCTTTTCTGCATGATGAAATTCAAAACTGAAATTTGATTGATTGCATGCTACTGCACCATCACAGTTGTTTATGGTGTTTTTTTTTTTCATTGCTAGTTTTAGTCATCTTCATACAAAAATTTAAACCTTCACCTTTAATTTCAAAACAGTTTTTTTTTTCTGCCACAATCTGTTTTGCATCATACATTGACACAAAACATGTATGACAGAAAGCGGACTGAATAGAGAAAGCAAAAAAAACAAAAACACAATATAACAAAATAATTCAAAATGTGAACATGCTGCAGTATATCGACAGCCACAACAAATGTGACAGATGCTTAGTAGATTAGAAGAAAAGATGTATTGAAGGTAGTTGCTTAGTAACTAGTTTCCTGCAACATGCACATGTGTGGAGGAGTCAGATGAATCATAAGAGCACTGATTTGCCAGGGGCACCAACATTTCTTACCTCTTACTATTTAAATCAGCAAAGCTTGGAATCTAGCATCCATTAGTAACATAAGTTAATAATAAAAGACAGAATTGTTATGCTTCTTTGTGACTGATTATGCCTAATGTTAGAAATATATGAATACTGCAAGCCAAAATTTACAGTTGTACATTCAGGATTGATCAAAATTACTACCTTGCACTTAATTTATACAGGTTTGAATCATAGGTAGAAAAACACTAATGCTGCATGGTGAATGTGCTGTACTGCTCCTTTCTCTCAATATACCCTGATATCACACCCATAACTTTATGGCCACCCACTTAATATTGAGCAGGTCTCCCTTCTGCCACCAAAACAACCCTGACCTATCGAGGCATGGACTCCACTAGACCTCTGAAGGTATGCTGTATTATCTGGCATAAAGCCATCAGTAGCAGATCCTTTAAGTCCTGCAAGTTGAGAAGTGGGGCCCCATGGATCAAAATTTTTTTAACACACCCCACAGATGCTCAATTGGGTTGAGGCAAAGTCAACAGCTCAAACTTGTTGTGTTCCTCAAACTGTTCTTAAACCATTTTTAAAATGTGGCAGGGTGCATTGTTCAGCTCAAAGAGGCCATTGCTGTCCGGAAATGCAGTTTCTAAGAAGGAGAGTACTTGGTTAGCTACAATGTTTATGTAGATGGTACATGTCCAGTAACATCAACATGAATAGCAGGGACCCAAGGTCTTCCAGCAGAACGTTGTTCAGAACATCACACTGCCTGCAATGGCTTGCCTTCTTCCTATAGTGTATACTGGTGCCATTTCTTCCCATGTAAACAATAAACAAGCACCCGGCCATTCACATGATGTAAAAAAACATGATTCATCAGAGCAGGCGACCACCTTCCACTGCTCTGTGTACATGCTTTTGGCTGTGGACATGGTTCAGCATGTGAACCCCGACCAGTCTGAAGCTACACAGCCCTTATAAACAACAAACGGCGATTCCCATTTTTTCTGCTTTCAACACATCAACTTCAGGGACAACATGTTTACTTACAGCCTACAAACTTCTGATGCCATTGTAATGGGATAATCAATTGTATTCACTTACCCTGTTAGTGGTCATAAAGTTATGGCTGATTTAAGCCTGTGGGTCATGCCTGAACGGTTTTAATCTCTCCCAAGTCTTGACGTGCCCATGTGTTGCAGAGCACATTTGGATGTACACAAACAGGTACACCCATTATGCTGCATGCTCCTAAACACTGCAATGCATGGCCTCACAAACATAGAAAACAGTGAGACTAAGAGAATATCATCTTCTCCTCTGCCTCTGACACCAGAAAACACCCATTCTCTGCCAGTACTGCAAGCATGTATGCCAGTGGTCTGACCATACAGATGAATCACTTGCTTCACTCCCTATTTGGTTATGGATCTGTCCATTGCCTTCACTAACACTAGTTCAAGTGCAGCCACTCTGCCAGGGACTAAAGTGTATAAGTATGTTGAATGGTATTAAAAAGGTTTTACTATGTAGACTTCTCAAGGATTTTTGGGGAAAAAAAAAGTTAAATAAATATCTTGATTTTGCACAGGGAATGCTAATCACATTCCCTGACATACAGGTAACCACTAAAAAATGCAATCAATCAACTGAAACCCAGTCATAATATGAACAGGTAAAAATATAAAAGCCTTATAACAATTTAAATGTGACTGACTACTGAAAATACAATCTAATTTTCCCTTTATGTACAGTGAAGGAAATAAGTATTTGATCCCCTGCTGATTTTGAATGTTTGCCCACTCACAAAGAAATGAGCAGTCTAAAAATCGAATGGTAGGTGTATTGTAACACTGAGAAACAGAATAGCAGCAAAAAATTCTAAAGAAATGCATGTCTAACAAATGATGCACTGATTTGCATGTTTATGAGGGAAATAAGTATTTGATCCCCTTCACAAAACATGACTTAGTACTTGGTGGCAAATCCCTTGTTGGCAATCACAGAGGTCAGACGTTTCCTGTAGTTGGCCACCAGGTTTGCACACATCTCAGGAGGGATTTTGGCCCACTCCTCTTGGCAGATCCTCTCCAAGTCATTAAGGTTTGGTGGCTGACACTTGGCAACTGAATGTTCAGCTCCCTCCTCAGATTTTCAATTAGATTAAGGTCTGGAGACTGGCTACGCCACTCCAGGACCTTAATGTGCTTCTTCTTGAGCCACTCCTTTGTTGCCTTGGCTGTATGTTTTGGGTCACTGTCCTGCTGGAACACCCATCTACAACCAATTTTCAATGCCCTGGCAGTGTGGAAAGAAGGTTCTCACCCAAGATTTTATTGTACATTACACCTTCCATCGTCCCTTTTATGCGGTGCAGTTGTCCTGTCCCCTTAGCACAGGGGTAGGCAACCTGCGGCTCTCCAGCTGTTGCAGGACTACAAGTTCCATCATGCCTCTGCCAGCTGTAACTGTCAGTTTTGTAATGTTGCAATGCCTCATGGGAAATGTAGTTCCACAACAGCTAGAGAGCCGCAGGTTGCCTACCCCTGCCTTAGCAGAAAAACTCCCCCACAGCAGATGGTTTCCACCACGTTTGACAGTTGGGATGGTGTTCTTGAGGTCATAGGCAGCATTCCTCCTCCTCCAAACATGGCGAGTTGAGTTGATGCCAAAGAGCTCGATTTTAGTCTCATTTGACTACAACACTTTCAACAGTCCTCCTCTGCATCATTCAGATGTTCAGTGGCAAACTTCAGATGGGCCTGGACATGTGCTTTCTTGAGCAGAGGAACCTTGCGGGCACTGCAGGATTTCAATCCTTGTCGGCGTAGTGTGTTACCAATTGTTTCCTTGGTGACTGTGGTCCCAACTGCCTAGAGATTGACCAGATCCTCACGTGTAGTTCTGGGGTGATTCCTCACTGTTCTCATGATTGACACTCCACGAGGTGAGATCTTGCATGGCGCACCAGGCCCAGGGAGACTGACAGTTGTTTTGTGTTTCTTCCATTTGCAAATTATTGCACCAATTGTTGTCACCTTCTCACCAAGCTGCTTGGCAATAGTTTTGTAGTCCAGTCCAGCCTTGTGTAGGTCTACAATCATGTCCCTGACATCCTCGGACAGTTCTTTGGTCTTTGCCATGGTGGAGAGTTTGATTGCTCCTGTGGACAGGTGTCTTTTATACAGCCAACAAAATGAGATTAGCAGCACTCCCTTTAAGAGACTGCTTCTAATCTCAGCTTGTTACCTGTATGAAAGACATTTGGTAGCCAGACATCCTGCTGAATGATAGGGGATCAAATACTTATTTCCCTCATGAACATGCAAATCCGTGCATAATTTGTTAGACATGCATTTCTTTTGAAATTTTTGTTGCTATTGTGCCTCTCAGTGTTACAATACACCTACCATTCGATTTTTAGACTGCTCATTTCTTTGTGAGTGGGCAAACATTCAAAATCAGCAGGGGATCAAATATTTATTTCCTTCACTGTATGTGTAAGAATGATCAAAAACAAACTACAATTCAGACACTTATTGTATAATTTATGTATTCGACATTCCATTAAATTGGCAACATATTGAAGGTTGAAAAACAGCTACTCCACCCAAAACACTCAGAACTGGGTATGTGGAGGACTAAGGCAAATGTCCACTTCATCATGCTAAGTGGAGCAAAGATAAAGGTAAAGACCAATGTCTTGATACAATTAGCATAGCAAACCATTCTTTACATGTGATCCACCAAGGTCCTAACCTCTTGCCAATCGCATAATGCATATACTGTATGCGGTGGCAAGAAAGGTGGGTTTAAATGGCCAGCCACTACACATATGCATGCCCAGCAGCATGAGGTTTCTGTGTTGAGAGCGCACGCACTGTGCACTCCCAGCACACTGACTAAGCTGCCCCCAATAGATCTCTGTCTGTCATGGTTTCTGATGGAGAGTTCGTGGGATGGGCTCCCAATCATGAAACCACTGTGACACCCAATAACAATGTTCACATGATATAGAAGATGCGCAGCCTCCCAGGCAATAAAACTCACTTAAAAGGGTCACCAAGAGGCAGTATTACCACTCATGTTTTATTTTGCTAAGGTATATTAAAGGGTGAAATCCTTTATAAAAAAAAAAAAGATAAAGATAATGACAAAACGTAAATGAATATTTCAGCTATATGATGTTCCCCATAAGTAATATATAGGTTTAATTCTATACAACTACAATGGAGCGTACCTTCATCTGTTCTGTTTATTTCCTGCTCGCTGAGCCGTGAGCTTGCTGGCCGTGAAGGGGAGACCACGGATGGCTGTAATGATGGCAATTCATCCACATCTCGAAGGTTTGCCAGCATATCTTGGAGTTTTGATCTGTTTGGCCCTAGCCACAACAATAAGGAAAAGTGGGAGCAGAAAATATTTAGCTTCTTCTATAAACACATTTTTTACACATTGTTTACTATAAAAGTCTTGACAGGCAGTTAACTACTTACAGATTAAGGTTAGACTTTTTTTTATACATTTATATAAATATATATATAAAAATATTGTAAAAATCACAATACATAAATTAGCCATAATTAGTCTAAGACCAATATAAACAAGTCAATAAAAAAAATAAAAGATAGTGGCATTTAAGTAGCCTGGAAATGTGTTTAAGACAACATTTTTATTTTACCTTACACAGATAAAAAATACCCTCACACTTCACTTGACTCTTACCTGAGCTTTTCTCCAACATGCTCCCACATCCCTGTTTTGATTGTTTTATGTGGGACACAGGCTGAGACATTTCTTCTGAGGTTTTTCCTGTTGTAAGTTTAGGGACAAAAGGTTCTTTAAGAGATGGAAACTCTAACCATTGGTAAGGCATTTCCTAGATCGGTAAATCAGAAGTGCTTCAACAATACGTACATAGGCAATTTTGTGACAGCATAACTTGGTAGCAGTAAGTACATTTGGTGTTATTTTTACACACATTCTATGCATTTACAGATTTAGGAAGTGCTTGAAATGTGCAAGAAGCAACACGTGCTCTCTGCCAAAACTCTTGACAGCATGTCATTAGGTCCATAACTAAAGAGGCCCTTCATGTATGAGGGTGGAGGATGGTGCAAAACTGCTAATGGACCATGTCATAAGGGCAGCACTATGAGAAAATCATGCAGAGCTCTACAGATTAAGCAGACAGCGCTAACTAGAATCACTTCCACTGTAAACACAAAGGCCTATTTGTATATTTATAAGAAACAAAATACTGAGATCCCAGATCTTAAACAAAAATCCTGTCCATCTAAGCCAAACATCTAAGACATTTCACAGTGGACATTCACAACAAACCAGGATGTGAACCTGAGCAACCACTGAATAATCTAAATAAAAAAGGTAAATATCTAGGACATAGATACAGACCCACGAATGCCAGAATTATTAGCTGGGGGGGTTCTCCAAACAAATACTTTAACAGTGGTTTCACCCAATGAAAGGCAGAAAACCACATGACAAGTAGTGATACAAGCCAGAATAATGTACTTGGAACAAAGGAAAAAGCCAAATAACTTAAAATACCTATATGTATGCACTGGTGTTTGTGAAACGACTTGCTTTAGACAATGCTAGTATCTGCCTACATAATTCAGCTGGTCAATCACATTACTTATGGCCAGCTGTCATAGATGTGCACTTTAGAATTGGGATTGGGATGTCTGAAAGAGCCCTCACCCATCTCTTGAAATAAGGTGCCCAGAGCCAAACATTATCTAGACAGGGCAACCATCATTATGTACTTTATTTACATAAATCATTTCAAATTCAACTATACAGTATTTGGATCGGATTAATTTTGTCTAAAAACACCAGTATAAATGAAGATATGCAGGCAAACGTTGAATACATACAAAGGTGGGTTTGCATCAGTAGAAGACTAATAAATGTCAACAACTGTTTTGCTTGGTATACTTGCATATGCAAGTAAATTCAACCATACTGTGAAGATCAGAAAAGCATAGGATACAATCTTCCATATACACTACATTCTATATTACTACTGTCAGGTGAGTAGAAACACATGCATATCCATGGGCCTCGCCAGGCTCCTTGACGAATGTAATCTAAAGGGCCCTTTCACATGGGTGTTCTGTTCGTATATGTTTTCCAAGAAAAATGGACAGCAACTCATTTCTATAGGCTTGGAGATGTAAACGGATGATCATGCATTTACACCCGTGTCCATTCAGTTCCATTTTTATAAACAGAAGAAGGCTGTATTCTTTCCCATTTAGACGAATATGAGTGGATATAAATGTACGTTTCCAGAACAGACGTAAGTAAACTGATAACATCCCTTTAGGTCTGCAAAAATGGAGAAGGGCACAAACGTTTCCACTACCACCACCCTCCCACAACATAAACGGATTTAAATGCAAGCAGATGTAAATGGACCAAAGTCCCTTTACCCACTCAGACATGCATCTTAGAAACTTAAAAACTGACAGATGGATCCAGACTTAATGCTCATGTGAAAGGGCCCTACAGGAAGAATTGTTAAAATGTATTTTTCACTCTGAGGGGAGTTGTACCCCCAGAGAGAAGGTCTGGAAGAGGCATCTGCTATGTGCATAAACCAGGAGACTTGGAGGTAAAAAAACCACAAACACGCATGTGTATGTCGATTGTTGTTTAGTACAATAACAATGTGGTTGTCAGATTTATTAACAGAAATCTCCTGTCTATATGTGACCTGAAAGAAAAACCCAACATTTGTGCCTTTAGTCAAAATGTTGATTTTTTTTTTTTTTTCGCATTCTTAGTTAGAAGCTAGATTACTACTGCGGCACAAAACAGTCTGCCAAGAAATAACTGTCCATCTAGTGCATGTGTGAATCCAGCAGGGTTAAGAAGAGACCATCCGCAGAATTAAAATAGAAAAACTGCTGCAGGTCTCAAGTGCTTCAAAATCACTAGATGTGGCTGAATGCTGAACTGCGGTAACAGCCCCTGTATTCTACAGTTAAGTAAGCAAGCCCATTCTATTGATGGGCCAATAGGAATGTGAGGGGTGAGGCTTAACTGTAAGCTCCAATATTACCCAAAGCGTCAGAGCTTTGCCTATGAGAAAGACGCAATATTTGTTAGAATTTTTTCTTAAGGGGTTTTTAAAGCTGTTGCATGAGAACTGTGACAGGCACTTACCAAGACTGCCTGACTATGCCCATTATTTAAGCCCATTTTCTCCATTCATAAAAGCTTAACTACAGCTTCTATGAATGAAAAATGATCAAAAAATGGAGAAGGAAGACCTATGAATCATTCACCCGTCCTCCATTCATATGTCTTTTCATTCCTAGAGGCTATAGTACAACCTTAATGAAGGGAGGAGGTGAGCAGAAAAGATGGGCCTAATTAGGCACTCTTAATGAGTGCTTATCACAGCTCCCTCGGCTTTATTGATCCCTGCTGCACTCGACTAGACTTTAAAGCTTGTGAGAATTACAAAAATAAATGTAAAAAAAGCTATTAAAATCCACATACAACAGATGTCAGCCAGGATAAACTTGCCATTTCAAGACGTAAAACACAGTATTGGAATTTATTATTGCTATCCATCCCCTAGCCATTCGATCACTGTAGTGATTAAGTGATAGTAACCAAAGATCTGCAGCATATAAAACAGACATTTGGTAACAAATGTAAAGAAAAAAAACTTATGAAATATGCATGAAAATATCCATGCTCTCATTACAGCAGATTTCAAACTATAAGGGTATGGTTGCTACATAAATATAAATCGATAGCCAAGCTGACTATAATGGATTTATTTGAAGGTTTTATCAAAAGAGCAAAACTATAATAAATTAAAAAAAAAAAATACAACACTTTTCAAAGGGCATTTCTTTCTGTGTATAGTAAATAAGGTTACGTTTTTTCCTTAACTCAAGAATGAGGTTAGCGAACGAAGTGGATGCTTCAAGCCCAACTTCGGACGAAAAAAGCAAAACTTTTTCCCATGCAGTGAGGCTGTGCTTGCACTTACAAGGTTTAATTGCTTGTTTACAAATTAAACCTAAAAATAAACTCCGTGCAATCAAAAAATAAATTGCATTAAACATATTACATATACAGTGGGAATAGAAAAGAATCACCCCCTTTAAAATAATCACACGGTGTTGTTTTGCAGCCTGAAATGAAGACAAACACTGCTTTATCAAGCTGTGCAACTTATAACAACCAAGTGAAAGATATAACACCAACATGTCAGAAAAAAAAAGCCATTTGCCTTTCAATTATGATCAGCTGTGGTCATTTTGATTAGCTCAGCATGGAAAGAGCTTTCCTGGAGCATTTCAGTCCTTGGTAGCGCAAATGAAGCAAACAATCAAGTATGGGTGGAAAGACACTGTCAAAAGATCCTGAGATGAAAGTTGTGGACAGGCACCAGTCAATGCCTAGAAGCACAGTGAATTCTATTAGGAAGTGGAAGGTATTTTGTACAACACAGACCCTCCCTGGATCAGGCCAATCGCGCCAAAGTGGATGAAAAAGCCAGAAGGAAACTGGTCAGAGAGGCTACCAAGAGGCCTACAGCAACCCTGAAGCAGTTGCAGGAATTTATGACAGAGTGTTCATTGTGTGCATGTGACATCACAAATTATCCACTAATGTGGCTTGTATGGGAGGGTTCCAATTAAAAAGCCACATGCAGTCACAATTGAGCTATGCCAAAATGCACCTTGAAGATTCTGAGGCCACATGAAAAAAGGCGTTATGGTCAGATGAGCCTAAAACTGAATTATTTGGCCTCACCACTAAACAATATATCTGGCCAACAGAATCTGTGTTACCAAGCAACTATACTTTTCTTTACTTTATGTTTTCTGCATGAGGTGGTATTTACATATGTATTTATATATATTTATATGTTTAATGTGATTCATTTTTTGGTTTGAGGGGGCACGTGCTGCAGGGCCTGGTCTCGTGCTGGGGGGGGAATCAGGTAAGTATATCTCTTGCCCCCAGATAAAAACAAACTATTGTTCCTTGCACAGCCCCACTGCATGGAAAACTTTTTTTTCCTGAAGTTGGGCTTTCGGCTTTTACTGAAGGAAGCTTTATGAACTTGGTCCAACTATTATTTCTACACATCAAGTTCATTATGAGAGTTACAAAAAATAAAAACCATTATCAGCATGGTTTGTTCATTTACATTAAACATAATGAACAAATTTAACCCAGAAAAAAAAAAACCATACTAAATCTCAGTTTTAAGTAATGCATATCAAAAATGTGATTAAATTACGGTCAAAGTAGAATTCCATTTTTATTTGACTGTAAATTTTTTTGGCCAAGCTGTCCTAAATTACCTAATTCTGTTACAGAATGATG